GCCAGGGGGGCGCGCCCCCCCCTTGCCCCCCCCTGCCTCTCCACACTGTGGGTGCTCCTGCCCCCACCAGTAACACCCAGCACCCCATTGCTCCAGCCGCGTCCCTGCCAGTGATGACCAGTGCCATGTGCTCCTGCTGAGCATGGTACTGGCCCTGCTGCCCCCAGTAAGTCCCTTCCATACCCCCAGGCTCCAGGAGAGCTACACACCCGCCAGCGCTGCCCAGGTATTGACTGCAGGAGGTGCTGGCCAACCCCCAACTCCTGCACTCCTCGCTCCAGCTCACCTGCCCTGCCACCCACACCCCCCTTACGCCTTGCCCACCCCCAGCACCACTCTCAGGACATGCACATGTTCAAAACAAAAAAACTTTATTACCTTCAACCTTCACCCCCACCCCTCAACAAGCAGAATCCCCTCCCCCTCAACTAACAGAGCCCCTCCACCACGCTCCCCACCCACCAACTATAAAAAACCAGCTTACAAATGGAAACACTATTTATAATATTTTAGGTCTTCAAGCCCAGAGTGGGGAGCCATGGGGGGAGGGGGGGCTAGGGAACAGCCCCAGGGCAGATGCACCCCAGCCTCGGGATGTTCCCCTGCAGGTCCAGGGGCTGCAGTGACCCCAGCCGGTGGCAGCCTCGTGAATAGCTAGGTCTTCAGGTGCGTGGTGTGAGGGAAAATGACTGGGCCAGGTGCAGGTGGGTGGCAGCAGGCCCAGGGCAGGGGCTGGGCCACGGGGTCTGGTGGGCAAGAGGTGCACAAGGAGCTCCTCCCAGGTCCAAGTGGGGGCCTGCTATGGGGCAACGGGAACTAGGGGTCCTGTGGGGCCATGGGCGGGGGCTGGACAGTGGGGGGCATGGATGCAGCCACCAGGCCCAGGAGGGTGTCCAGCTTTCCCCTGCTGCCAGAGCAGCTCTAAGTGCTTCCGCTCCAGGGCCTCTTCCCAGGGCAGGACAGGCCAGGCTGCTGGCAGCACCTGCTGCTGTGGCTCCAGACCCCACTCTCCCCTGCAGGCCAACCACTCTGCTGTGCTGCCATGGTATCCAGGGCATGCAGGGCTCCCAGACAACTGGGGCAAGGGGCTGGCTGCCCCCACTTCCTCCTGATGGAGGCCTCTCCAGGGAAGCACCACAGGCCAGCCCCTCCCCCTGCACTGCCACTGTGTCCCAAGCATGCCCCTGCTATGTGTGCCCTGGGTGGTGCGCCATGAGCGTTTTGTGAAGGCTGAGGGGTGCCTGAGCCACTATACCCTGCTACTGCTAATCTTCCTGGTGCCCCAGGCACACCTGCACTCCTGGTTTGGGACCCTGAGCTACGACAGCACCGGGGGCAAGCCCAGGCTGCACTGCAACCTCCACCACTGCCGGGAGGGCTACTTGTGGCAGCACTATACATCTCTGCCCCATGCTGTAAAGAAGGACATCGCCGCAAGCATTGATGCCTTCCTCAGTGTCTGAGAGGCCCTTGCCCACCCAGCTGCAGGGACACAGGCTGCTGAATAAAGTTCTGAACTGTGTCCCATGTCCCTATGCGCTATAGCGGGGAGAACCCAGGGCCAGGGGAGTGCTGGTGGGCCAGGGCCAGGGAGCAGCAGCCAGGGCCAGGGCCAGGGCCAGGGGCAGGTGCTGGGACCAGGGACAGGGTGGAGAGTGAGAGGGCACTCCTCCAGTGTGGGACTTACATGTGTCCTGAGATGGTGAGGCTGATGGCTTGGTGCAGGCCTCCCCATCGGTGATGGTGTGTGGCTGCACCTGGTGTCCGTTGGCCGTGGTAGGCTAGCGCCTAGTCAGGACCCCATCCCCTGTGGAGGAGCTGGCACTGCCAGCAGTGACATTGCCAGCTGCGACTTGTGGCGGGGGGTTGGGCTCCACCCAAAGCCACGGCTCCCTGAGCTGGTAATGGATGCAGCAGCCAGGAACAAGGACAGGGCAGCATGCTGAAGGCCTGAGGGCCCCTCTGGTGATGTGTCAGGGCAGGGTGAGGGTTTGGCCAGGCTGCCCTTCCGGTTACACTTGCAGAGGTGTAGCCTGGGTCCCCGGGTGCCAAAATATGGGTCAGCTCCTGCATAAAAACCATGGTCTTGTGGGCATGATCAGACCAACGACTGTAGTCAGTCATAGCCATCCATTGTGCCCGCAAGGCCTTGACCCTAATGCAGCACTACTGCACTGACTGGGAGTGCCCTTGCTTATGCATGCCACCTGACAGGGCTTCATAAAATGTGGCTATTCAAGTACCCGCCCTGTGCAAACTGCCTCTGCATATCGGCATGGCCCCAGAGCACCACAGCCTCTTCCTGGGACCAGTTGGGGGCCCAGGCAGTCGGCACAGCCATGTGCATGCAAGTAGGGCCAAAGCTCAACAGAAAGGATGACATTCTCATCCCACACCTACTCTCTGGGCCACTGCATAGCTGTCCCTGTGTGGCCGGCCCTGGACAGCACTCAGTAGAGGGCCACGGCCAGGGACTGGGAGCCATGCAGCAAAGAGACACTGCTAGAGGTGAGCAGCAGCAGTGAACAGGTGCTGGCCCCACTGCCAGACAGCAGTCCTGGGGAGATAATCGAGCCTGAGCAAGGGGTGCAGCAAGCTGCAGCCCTTTGCAACACTCACTTGTGGCCAAGCAGGAGCTCTGCAGAGGGGTCAGGCCAGGCAGAGACAGCCTGTCCAGGGGGACACGTGGGGCCTGCTGGGCTCCTGAACACAGAACAGGCTCCCTCGGACTCCGTGGTGCGAGTGCCCCAAGGCACAAAATGTATGGAGGCTTTTATACCCTGCAGCCAGGGAGCAGCCCAGCCCTGAAGCAGGAAAGGCAGCCAGCGAGGAGCCCTGGAGCTGGGCTCAGGTTAGCCCCCTAGTGGCTGGGCAGACCTAACACTAAAGTTATTGCTGGGTCACATCTATACATGCATCTGCACATTAACCAACCACGCCTAAATTAGATACCTGCATTTTCAGGTATCATATATAGTTGCAATTATCCATTTGCAGGAAGGGTGCACACATGTAGACATGCACCCATATTGTGCAGTAAATTAGGCTAATGTGCAAATGTTTTAACACATCTCGTGTAGACATGTCCTGTGGACTCCAATTTGAAATCTCTGGGTCTATCTTATGAATCATTTTCCCAACTGATAATATTCTGGAGCACCTTTAAAAGAATCTCATAGCACCCCAGGGTACCATACCACCCTGTTGAGAATCACTGATCTAGCCCAATCCCTGCACAGATGTAGGATTTGCTGTTCCTAACCATCCCATAAACCTCCAGTGGATGAGATACCTTGGTTTCCCTCGGCACCTTGTTCCATTGTCTTACAGAAGGCTTCAAAAGACTACACAGAGAAGGAAGTGCAGAACCAGAAGCACTGTTGTTTGCTTTATAAAGTAAAGCATTTCCTAAGTTTTTTCTTAATACCAAGTTTTCGTTCCATCTATTTGTGTGTACTGTAAATTGATTGGTTCCTTTCTTTCTCGTCTAGATATAAATGAGTGTGAGACCACTAATGAATGCAGAGAGGATGAGATGTGCTGGAATTACCATGGTGGATTTCGGTGTTATCCAAGAAATCCTTGTCAAGAACCCTATGTCCTGACATCTGAGAAGTAAGAGAATCCACGTACAGTTTTTAGGGTTATCCTTACTAGCCAGTTTTGCCAAGTGCAACTGAATGCAACTGAATATTGTAAGTTTGTACATCAGCAATGCTTAATCTATGTTTGCTTGTTTTCTAGTCGCTGTGTTTGCCCGGTGTCAAACACCATTTGTCGAGAGCTGCCCTACTCTATTGTATACAAATATATGAGTATCCGCTCAGACAGAAATGTGCCCTCCGATATTTTCCAAATCCAGGCAACCACTATTTATCCCAATACTATCAATACTTTCCGAATTAAGTCTGGAAATGAAAATGGAGAGTTCTACCTGAGAGTGAGTATCCAGGGAAGGGGGGAAAAGGCTGAAGGAGAGGGTTGGCAGTGTGTGAATACAGAGTGCTGGTACAGCCCTGGCTCTTTCATAGCTGTAAAACACTGTTCTCTGAAAAATGGTACCGTGTTTGCTATCTCTCCCTAAGTTCCATGTCAAGTAACTGTTAGCAAATGCAATCTGACATTGAGAATCAAGGTAGGTTCTTTCTATCCAGTTACCTGGGGAAAACTGTTCAGCAAGCTAAGTTCAGACTTCAGTTACTCCTGTGTAACACCACTATTTTTGGTTTACATCTACTTTTATAATTAGGAAGAATTTACTGAGGGCTATGGAAAGGCTCCTTCTACCCTCACTTCCCTTTCCAGAATAACTGGTTTTAATGACCATTATTTAGCTTTCAAGTCTTAGGGGAATTTTTGTTTAATTTTTTGTTTGTGTTTCTCCCTTCTTTCTTTTAAAAAAGTAAAACATCTGTCATAGTTTGAGATCTAACGTGCTGACCTCTGGAACACTCAACTCCAACCAGAGGACAATTAAGGCATGCGCCCTGTCAGTTCTTGGCCTGAGCCCATGCTTCTGGAACCACATGACAAGATTAAGATGTCTATTTGCATTACTAAAATATAGTGGGACAGTAGCAGCACCATAAGTTGCAGTTGCAGCAAAAGTTATGTTTTATATCTTTATTTTTCAAGAATGTTGTAAACATTTTTGAGAAAACAAATCACAGAATTTAAAAATACATATTATTTGAATATTTCAAGTTGGTTTTGTATGGGCAAAAAAGATGCACATAGAATTAAATGTAAAAAAAATTACACTTTTTTCAAAAATTTGGAAAAAGTATTTTAATTTGTTGTACCCTTTTGTCAAATATTTATAAGCTCCTAGGTTCTAATCTTTGCCTCGCAGGTTGCTCTACAACTGCTTAAATAACCATACCAATTAAAAGTAAGGACCCCTTCTATTTTTTACCTTATACTTAGCAACTTTTTTTTAATGCCACAATAGAGAGTCCATGAGCTGAATACCAGGAACTCCCATTTATACTGATATTGTTCATAAATCCATGCACTTGATCATCCTTATAGGCTAGAGCCGTGACCTCCCTCAACCCTAGAAAGTAGTCAGATATGCGGCCATCAACAACTTTTTTCCACATAACACGGATGTTATACAAAGTCACTTTAGTGTAATTTTTATACTGAAGTAACAAATGTGAGCAACTTTGATGGTTTTGAATTGTATGAATTAAAATACGTTGTTTTTGTCATTTTTCTTTCAGCAAACAAGTGCACTAAGTGCAATGCTCGTATTGGTGAAGTCACTGTCGGGACCAAGAGAACATATTGTAGATCTGGAGATGCTGACAGTCAACAGTTTGAACTATCGTACAAGCTCAGTGCTAAGATTAACAATAATAGTGGGACCTTTTGCATTTTAGTTGTCATCAGTGACCCTTCACTGGCACCTAAAACAGCCAAAGAATATTATCAAAGAAAGCACTTACTATTTTATTTATAGATTTTGCTTTTTTTAGATTTATTTAGTAAATTGATATCTGTAATCCACACATTACACCTGTAACTCAAAATTAGTACGTGTTCCATATTATAATGTGAGCATTGTCACTTTCTGTATAAAGATTAAAATCTTGCCTCTCTTATCATACTCGGATTAAATACCTATTACACTTCTGTACAAGAAATTTATGCTTACACTTTTGTAAAAGTTCACATTCTTTTCCTAGCCAAGTAATTCATGCAATTAAAAAAGTGATCTATGTTTATAATAGTTTTAAATTCTAATTCAGCTACACTGACAATCTCAAAAGGAAAAAGTAATATAAAATTAAATGTTATACAAACTAAAAGATTATTTTAACAGGTTAAATTTACTTCTTTTTAACTGCCTTATGAGAGAGGAGAGTAGTCAATACAGAACTATTTCTTTAGATACATATGCTCTATATCCGGGGAGGGGTGTCCAAATCTGGTTGTAGTAAATTTACATGGCAAGAAAAGTATATTTTGCATTGGGTGTTCCTTAAGCACCAGATATTATGCAGATTTTTCTAAATATACCATACAGTTATATTTTATATTATCCATGAAAAATGGGACAAGATAGGAAAACTTCTACTAAGAATGAAACAGTCTACTAAGAATGAAACACTCAGTGGAAAACCATCATACTGAAAAATATCTCTGTATGAATATCACTGTTTAAGAGAATACTACTTATAGTTCGTGTTCAGAGGGTTACTGCATTTCTGGAAAAAAATGACATGCTACTTTTCAGTTTGGTTGTATACTAAGGCTTTATAACATTTGCTTCATTAGTAAATTATACCATATATTTTCAAGCAGTTGGTTCTATTCCTAGTTTTTATCATTCAGATTTTTGGTCTTATGTACAGTGTTCATAAAATTTGTAGTAATTCAAGAACTAATTACACCTGCTTTTGTAATATGTTAAAACTTCTTTTATTTCTTGTTTAAAATATAATAGTTTATACTTTGATGTACAGAGTTTTTTAATAAATACATTTCTCTCTTATACAGGGTTAATTTGTCTTTTAAGGTATTGTATAATGTGCAAGTGTAAATGAGCCAGAACCTTAACTACAGAAATCAGCACAGATGCACTGATTACAGTGGCATTACAATTTACACCACATTGGCCCAAAGTAACTCAAGCCTTTTTTTTTTTAAGTTTTCTAAAAAACTAAAAGCTACTATGTATTGTCATAAAGAAGATAAAAAGTGTAGATTGAACCAGCTCTAAAATGCAGTAGAAGTTCAGGCCTAGTCAAAGCCCAGAATCAGGACCCTGTTTTCTAATGTGCTCTGATGCTTTCACTGACTTTGAGCAAATACTGTATCTGCCAAAGGGCGCACAGCAGATGCTTGTGGAATGGGCTGACTAATAAGAAGTGCTAGCATTCCGGAGAAAGGCAGCGCAGCAGCCAGGAGAGCGTTTTGTCTCAGGCCCTGACACTTCAGGACAGGACCCCACTTATTCTTAATCCACCCCTAAAAGAATTTGGGGGTGTTAAATCCAGTACCTTTCACAAATGCTGTTGTTAAAGTTTGCCATGATAGCTACAAACTATCTTTGAAAAATACATTTTACTTTTTGGCCTTATTCTACCTCTTGCTTTGAATTTTCAAACTGACTGGCTAAGGAAATTTGGGTCAGTGGTCCACTAAATGTATTAGTCAATTACTGACTCCTCTTTGGATGGCTTTTTAATCCTTAGGACACTCTCCTATTCTGGAAATCAATCAAACCACAGTCAAACCTGTACAGCAAAGTACTTTGAAATCCTCCTGACTACAGAACCCTTTGGCCTGCCATATATTGTATTTACTTGATTCCAAGACGAGGCATTTATTATCATTCAACATGGAGGGGAGGAGCTCCTCATCTTGGAATTGAGTACAATTGGGGGGAGGGGGATAGGCAGCTGCTGCAGCTCTGGCTGCTGCCTGCCTCTCCCCCCTGCTGCCTCTACATTCCCTGCAACATCAGGCCTCCGCCTCCCTTTACCCCCATTTCCTGATCTTCCCCCCTGCACCACTTCTTTCCCGCACAGCCTTGAGCCCCTACACCATTCCCCATCTTTCCCCCCATGCACAGCCTCTGCCTCTCCCATGCCCTTACCTCACCCCTAACCCTTGATTAGGTGCCAGTTGGCACCATCCCCATTCCAGCCTGTGGCATGCAGCATGGCCCCAACACGCACCACTGCCTCCATACCTTCTGCCTACTACCTGTCCCGCTACTGCCTGTCCCCCACTTTTCTCCCCACTGACTGCCCCCTTACTGCCTCCCCTGCTGCCTTCCCTACCATGTGCCCCCATACTGCCTGCTCTGCCTGCCTCCCTACCACTGTTTTCCCTGCTGCAGTGGTGATGGGGACAAATTTAAGAAAACCCTCCAATAATTAGATTTATACATTTTCCACATATAGAACCTAACTAGCTAATTGTCCATCCAGCATAACAAAGGGGGG